CAATCACAATACTATACTACTGAGAATACACCACACTGTGACAACACTAAAACAGATAGCTGGAAGTAAAATATCAAGGGCTAGAAGTGTTTAATTTTATATTTTAAATGAACCTATTCCTCACTTTTTACACAAAGATGTATGAAATGCAAGACAACATAAATAGATGACATATTTGACATGTATTTTATGATCAAATGTATCAATAATATGAGTAACAATATTTAGTGTGTTTTATGTAAAGAGCTAAAATAGACTTTCATGCATCATATGGTCTAGAACACTTTGAAAGCTAAATTTCAGAATGTTTTCATAGAGAACTATCAGAATATCAAAAGGTATCAAACATAGCCACTGTTGTAGCAACCACATATTTAAAAGGATGGTGCCCACATGGTTGGGCACTAATGCTTCAGTTTTTTGGTAGATATGTCCAAGGAAACATCTCATCTCTTAGATGCTCAAGTGGCAAGATATTGGCATATGACTTAATAAGGACTATCCACTTGCTGTAGGTTATTTGAGAATGTCTGACATAATGTGATAGGGCTTTTAAAAAAATATGCTAGCTAAATAGATTCCTCCATCCACACAAACAAGATGGAGGTATCCCCCCTGCCAGGACCTTGTATTCTAACACCTGGTATCTAACATTGTCAAAATACACTGATCATTGACTGTGGCTCATGGGCTGCAGCCACTGATTGATAGAAACTAAATTTTCCAAAATGTCCCTTCAACCAATTTTGATTTATCAGTGGAATGGGGGATCCCGCCCCCTGACTGAAATTCAGCCAGTTTAGCAGGGACAGGACAAATTTCAATCAGTGTACGGCCAGGCTAATACAAAAAAAAAAAAAAAAAAAAGGAGGAAGAGGTCAGAGACTACACCTGGGCAAATCACACGACTGGACATTTGCTGGTTTCAGTGCATTAGTGTTTACCTGTAAATGAAATATCAGTTTTGGAGAGTCTGGACATTTTGAAAATAACAAATTCCATGTATCGGTTACCTGTTTTATAACCCCTTTTTCATAATTTATACAGAAAACAGCTCTCCTGGCCAAAATGGTCTGGTGCACACATTCAAGACTTCCAGTTCATGACCAGGCCAAAGCACCTTTGCTGATATGACAAGTTTAAAAGTTGAAGCGCATATGATGAAGATGATGTTGTATGTTAAATCAAAGACAGCCTTACCAAACATTTGTAGTGTCCCTGCCCTAGGCTGGCTAAATGTAGTTTTTTGGCCCTGCTGTACCCAGCTCAGCTGCAATTTTCCATGTCTGGTCAAGTCTATCCCTAAACCTGAGAGTTGATTGCTCCTACCTGCCTCTAAAAGAATGTTCCAGAAATATTGCGGAAGGATCAACCCCTGGGCTATGAATATTTATTGGATGTTAGCCAATCCCTGGGAGGGAGGCTTAGAAAGTGAGGCTGGGGAGAAGATGAATGTTTGGGAGGGTCTGGTGAGGTCTCTCTCTCTCTCTCCTTGGGCCTCTCCCCATGGGAGGCAGCCTATGTTATTGAAGAGCTGTTGATGTTAGACCTCAGCATGTGCTTGAGTGAGGGCCTGAAGGAACCTAGGCTTAAAAGAAATATGCTGGCAATACCTTAGGAAGCTGGGCTGAAGAAGGGTTCTTATTTAAATCTATGCTGCTATAGTTAGTTTGCGTCCATATACCGGTAGTCGCTGCTGGTAGTTACATGATGCCATGGCCACACACAGGATGACTGTATCTCTTGTTGTTAATTGTCTGCCCATGCCCCCTACTAGCTCATTTTAGTAAGAGAGTAGTATTCTTTAGAAATACGCAGTGGGGAAGTTCCATATCTGTAAATTACATCACACACACAATGGGCGGTTAGTGGATGGGCAGTAGGCAGACAACGGTCAGGGTTATGTCACAGCAGGCTGGCTGGTGAGCAGTTTACATTAAACAGCTTGTGGGTGGGCAGGAGTATGTGAAACAGCAGGCAGCAGATAAGCTTACATCACATACAGCAGGGAAGTAACTTCCCGTCACTGTGTTCCGTAACCAACTGCAATTATGACAATGAAGCTCCATTTGGAAGCCGCTGTCAAAACTGCAACTGGTTGTGAAGCACATAACCCCATAAATGAGGAAGTTACTTCTCCACCGTGTGTGATGCAAGACAAAGTAAAAAAACAAAAAAAAAAAGTTTTTTAGGAAAATGTGTTTTGACCAATAAAATTTTTTTTTTGTAATACCTTTAACAGAATAGGGTTGCTTTACTAAAGGCAAATATAATGTGCTCTGCTAGTGCAGTTGCTCCTGAGCTTAGTAAATGAGGCAAAGCTTCATTTTCAAAAAATACCCAATCACATGCAAGGAAAATGGAAAAAAAAACAACAACAAAAAAAAACAAACGCATTTTTGCTTGTACATGATTGGAAGGAAAATCAACAGAGCTTCCCCTCATTTCACAGCTTCATCTCAGATCTAGAGCAACTTCACTTGCAAGTTTGCCTTCAGAAAATCAACCCCATTGCGTTTACAAGTACTTTACCTACTTGCTGACCAGTCATCTTCCCAGTACTGTTTTTTAGAGTGAACGGTCATCTCTCTTGTAACCAGCTAGCCGCTCAATTGCTATTAAAAGCAGCAGGAAGAGGGGACAGACCCCCCCCCCCCCCCCCACCTTCCGCAGCTTTAACAGGATCTCCCGTCCCACTGGGAGTCCCGATCAACCAGCCAACGCTTACGCCAGCTCATCATACAGCCCAACAAAGACCAGATTGGCTTTGTTGGGCTCTATGATCTAGTAATCGGGAAGCGATGACCTTACATCACTTCCAGTTTATTTGGCTACAAACTGCGCCATTTTTAAAAAAGAAAATCATTTAATCACACTGATCTAGGTGTGATTAAATGCTTTTAATGGCAGAGGAGAGATTTGGGGTCTTATTGATCCCTCCCATAAATAGAACCTGTCACAAGCCTATTGCTGTCACAAGGGATGTTCTTTGTGACAGCAATAAATACGATAAAAAAAAAAATTTAAGAAACAGTGTAAAAATAAAAATAAAGAAAAGAAAAAGTGCCTCAATCCCCTGTGCTTATGCGCAAAGGCAGAGGCATCCATCGGTCCCACACGCATGTAAACACATGTGCGATATCGCCACAAATGTCAGATAATGGGCAGTAATTCTAGCACCAGACCTCTGTAAATCTAAAGTGGTAACCTGTAAAGGCTTTTAAATCATCACCTATGAATCGGAAATTTATGTCATTTGTCATTGCACAGGCGTGTAAAATTATAAAGCGCGACAGGTTTGGTATCTATTTACTCAGCGTAACATCACCTTTTATATTTTACCAAAAATTGGGTTACGCATTGCATTTTTTGCATTAAAATAGAAAAAAAAAAAAAAGTAGTGTATTTTTTTTCCCCAAAATATTGCGTTTGAAAAACTGCTGCGCAAATACCATGCATCAACAAAAATTGCAAAAACACACCAATTTATTCTCTAGGGCCTCTGCTTTAAAACAAAATATTTGGGGGTTCTATAATGTTTGGGGGTTTTAACAAATTTTCAAGCAAAAAATATTTTATTGTTACATGTAAACAAAGTGCCAGAAAAGTCCTAGTCTTCAAGTGGTTACAGATCGGAAGGGATCCTTTTGGTTTGCAGTTGAAATAGTGAACAGAATTCTCACTGCCTTTTGCTCTCAACATGGGATTTGCCTACCTATGCCACTCTTAAAAAAGGTTTCCCCAAAGAAACCTCTGAGAAGTATCCTGATTTATAGGTCACAAGCACGTATATCAGGAAGGACTGCAGAACACAGGAACACAGACAAGTAATATTAACAAAAAGGTATGTAGAATAATATAGTCAGCACGAAACTAAAGCACATTTCTAATTTTGCAGTCAAATTGGGATAAAACCTACATTATATTGCTACATTCTCCCATTCACATAGCATAACCTAAAAAGAGAAGTATGGATTAAACGGAAAAAAAAAAAAAAAATTTATATACTCACCTAGGTGGATGCTACATCTGTCCCCCACCGACTCTAAAACTTGTTGCCTTTGACAGGGTTACCTGTCAGGCACCAGCGCTCTGCTCTACCCCTCCAGCTGTTACTGGAGCACCAGGCTGTGGAGGGGGTGGGAGTGGCTAGCTCAGGATCTCAGCCAAATCACTGAGGCCAACACAGGTGTCGGTTGCTATACTCTTCTGAGTGGATCACGCCCATATGGTCCGGATCTTTTCAGAGACTGGACTAGCTCTGTGACATCAGCTGAAGGCCAGCTTTAGCCTTCTGTTGGCTGAAACTGGGTCACAGGAGTGCAGAACGAACTGCACTTCTGTGATCCTTAGGAGAAATATAGCCAAAAGAGCTTTGGCTATACTTCTCCTTTAAAGAAAAATTACTACTTATTTTTTCCTTGCACTTTTCTGAAAATTCCAAAACTGAAATTTTCCTTTGCTATGCAGAGAGGGCTGTGGAGTTAATATTTACCATAACTATCTCTGTCTCTACTATGTTGGCAGATCTCATTATCACTTGTAAACTAGATTTGAACACAATGGGGTTTATTTTCTAAAACTGGAGAGTGCAAAATCTGGTGCAGCTGTACAAGGTAGCCAATCAGCTTTTAACTATAGCTTGTTCAACTAAGCTTTGACAAAAACCTGGAAGCTGATTGGTTTACTATGTCTGCCCACTTGTTTTGAACAAAAACACTAGAAAGGTAAGGAGATTTTTTTTAAAATCATTTTTAAGTATACGGTGTGAATGGGAACACAATCATGTAGTGGGGTTGTCTCAAATTTGGCTGCAAAAGCAGAAATACAAGTCAAGACAAATTTTCAGGATTTGATGCAAGCCAGATTTACAGCATTGTTTTTTGCACAATGTAATTTGTTTCTCTGTAGTTCTTTGTGTTATGGAAAATAGATACATTAGCTCCTGAACTTTTCTGAGTTAGTCTCCAGCATTTGCAGCCTACATATTCCAGACTCACTTGTAGGGTGTTGACAGGGTAGGAAGATATGGGAGGAAAGTCCATGATCTGAAGTTCGTGGACATGGCCATTCATGACAACAGCTGGTAGGAAGACACGTCGAGTCTTGGTTGGAACAGAGGTCTCGCTGAACTCGTTGTACATGAACTGACGCACAATGGCACTTTTTCCCACTCCTTGGGCCCCAAGTACCGCAATCTTGAAGGTCGTCACCATGCCTCCCAGGGCCGGTGGTGGATGATTCCCTCACACGGTCCGTGGTGTTGGAAAGGTGGTCACACTGCGGCATATTCCGGAGGCTGCAGGCTCAGCCACTTTCAGGAAGCATCTCCCTGAGCAGGAGGCTATATAAGAGAAAATAAAATATGTCACTGTAATCACACTGCATTAAATATTTCATGTTTCAGGCTACTTTAAAAACTAGTGAACTGAAAATAAATACAGCAGACATTTCCCACTCCTGTTTTTGAACAAAAAAATAGTTAAAATACAGGTACAGCCAAAACTTTTTTTTTTTAGTTTTTGATAGAGTAGGGAAGGCTTAGATATATGACAGTATAGATCAGCCTCTCTCAGACATGGTTTCTGTGGAACCCTACTGTTCCTCTAAAGCAGTGTTTCTCAACTCCAGTCCTCATGGACCCCCAACAGGTCATGTTTTCAGGATTTCCATTATTTTGCACAGGTGATTTGATCAGTTTCACTGCCTTAGTAATTACCACAGCTGTTTCATCTGAGGGAAATCCTGAAAACATGACCTGTTGGGGGTCCATGAGGACTGGAGTTGAGAAACACTGTTCTAAAGGTTGCCACGGGTTCTTTTAACAATGAGCAGCTTCTACTTCTCAGATAAGTTTCTACTGACACCAATTTTTACCTATCTGCAATGCAGAACTCTTCCAAGTGAACTCAAATGTAAGCAAGAACATTCTTCCTAATGATCAGCACAGTAGTGTACTATAAAATATAGATTTAGAAATTATCACCAGGGGTTCCCTGAGATTGGAAAGTTATTTCCAGAGCTCCTCCAAGTTAAGAAGGTTGAAAAAAGAAAAAAAAAAAACACATACACACACTTACAGTGCAGTGTTGAATGTAGAAGCATAAGGAGACAAACATACCCATGTCCTTCCTTCACTTGTTTGTTTTTGAGATGAGGTTCTATGAGTTATTGACATCTTGTTTCTTTCTTTCCTTTTTTTTAGCCGGTGCTGTTATCCATATTAACGCGTGCTGCTACTCATATCAACCTTTACCGTTATTCATAGTGACCCATATTATTACTGAAACGGTTTCTGAGATTAAGTTTTATTATTTTTGACATTACATTTTTAACCACTAGACCTCCGGCCTTTTTTGTGATTTACCGCTGCTCTAATTTAACTGGCAATTGGTCGGTCATGCAACACTGTACCCAAATTACATTTATATATTTATTTCACACAAGTAGAGCTTTCTTTTGGTGGTATTTGATCACCACTGGGTATTTTTTTATTATATAAACAAAAAAAGAACTGAACATTTTGAAAAATCATATCGAATAAAAAAAAAAAAAATAAATCACATCCAATTAAAAAAAAAAAAAAAAAAAAACCAACACAAAACATAGTCATCAAGACCAAAATATATTCTACTATATGTCTTTGGTAAAGAAAAATGTCAATAAGTGTATATTAAATTGGTTTGTGTGAAAGTTATAGGGTCTACAAACTATGATGTATATATAGTGGAATTTATGAAGCTATGACGCTATACTGGTATTGGCGGGGTTCAGAAAAACATAGTGGGATTGTGATAGTGTAGCGGGCAATCTGGCACTAGCAGACTGACACGGACATCAATAGTGACACTTATACAGTGATCAGTGCCCATACTGTACACTGTACTAATGACACTGAATGGGAAAGGGTAACATCAAGCGGCTATCAAAGGTTTACTGTGTGCCTAACACATGTAATATGTGCTGCTTTTACTAAGAGATTTGCCTATTTTTTTCTCCCTGCTTTGCAGGTAAAAGAAACAGCCAGATCGCTGCTCTATGTACAAAGCCCTGTGTTTGCAAAACACAAGGCTCTGTGCTGTGATTGGACACAGCCGATCAGCATGTCTCAGCCATAAATCATCTGTTAGGACATGCTGGCAAAATCCTGCTGTGTCCAGCAGCAGCACGGGTAAGCAAGGGGCGCACTTGTGCCCCAAACACGGAAGCAGGCTTGCAACGTTTATTTACATTGCTAAGTCTGCAGCTGCCATCCTGTCACAGTAGATCTAGCAACCCATGGCATAACCCCCAACAACCTGTGCTGTTACCCGTATTAATGCATGCTGTTATCCATAGCAACCCCTGTTTGTTATTCATAACAACTCATGTTATCTATTGCAATCTGTTTTTTGAGATACGCTTCTATCGCTTAACAACATCTTGTTTTCTTTTCTTTTTTGGTCTTTTTCCAGCTTGTATGATGACCTGCATCATTGTTTTTATCCAATATATCAAAAAGGTAACATCTGTGCTCAAACCAAATAATTACTGCTCACAAGTGAGAGCAGCAGCTGTCTCTGCCCAAAAAATTGGTTTTATGCTGTGAAATGTGTTAAGACAGCACTAATGTATAATGAATAATGCACATACAAATAAATAAAATGAAAATTAGTCCAAAAAAAATAAAGTGCTCTGGTGCTCTTCCTAAAGTTCATAGATGTCACAATTTCTTATAGGTCCACTTTATCCATGCAAATCATCTTGTGCACTTGCGTGACTTTCCATCACACTCACCAGAGGGCATGTGACCCCTTGTTTGCACAAGAAAGTCAATGCGAACTTTCGGAAACCCAATGTACTCTCTAAAGGAATGCCAAGAAACCTCCACATTCATCTAATGATCTCTAATGGATTTACAGTGCAGCCCAAACCACGACAGATAAAGTAAGGGTGCTCAGTGTTTACGGTTTATTAAAAACATGGCAGAATAAAAGCAATGTATGCACTTACAAAACTACAATAGTATAACTCTTGTATTTGTTTATCAAAGACGTGAAACACTCCTGAAAACATCGCATGTTGGTGACGAAACGCGTAGGGTAATTTCTGCTTCACATGGAACACACACTGGAACATGCAGCGGCGCTCTGCAGCCTTAGGAAGAGCACTTTTAATTTATTTACTATGGACTAATATTGATTAGCATTTATTGTATTTGTATGTGCATTATTCATTGTTTTTATCCAGTATGATATATGTTGAATTTGTTTGGACAATATGTATTCGTATTAATGAGCAAATTTGATCAAAGTCTGTGTATTTTTTGTTAACATATTTAACATCTGTGTAACAATGTCCAATGGCTGTAGTACTTTTAAATTGAAGTGCGTTACGTTCTTACACCAGCTACAACTAAGACCCACACAGGGCTGAAACACAAAAATAAGGAAGGACACTTGTTTTTTTTTAGTCCTGTGTTAAAGAAAGGAGAATTGGGATTGCTCCAGTCTACAGCTTTGGACCTTGCTTTGTGCACTGTTGTGCAGTCATGCTGGAACAGGTAGGGGCCATCCCCAAACGGTTCCCACAAATTTGGGAGCATGAAATTGAACAAAATTTCTTAGTATGCTGACGCCTTAAGAGTTACCTTCACTGGCACTAAGGGGCCAAGCCCAACCCCTGAAAAACAACCCCACACCATAATCCCCCTCCACCAAACTTCACACAATGATTCGTCACTCCAGAGAACACGTCTCCACTACTCTGAGTCCAGTGGCAGCGTGCTTGACACCACTGCATCCGACGCTTTGCATTGCACTTGGTGATGTAAGGCTTGGATGCAGCTGCTCGGTCATGGAAACCCATTCCATGAAGTTCAACACACTGTTGTGCTAATCTGAAGGCCACACGAAGTTTGGAGGTCTTTATCTATGGACTCTGCAGACAGTTGGCGACTTCTGCGCACTTCAGCATGCGCATTATGTACACCTTGTCATCACAGTGCTTGATGCCATAAACAATTCTCTCCTATTGTTGTTATACACATATATCTCTTGCATATACTGCCACTATTCTACCCTCTGCACTCCTCTCCTGCCCATTGTCATACACATCCCACTCTTCTCCTGCCCATACTGCCAGCCACTATACCCTACACATTGCTTTTTTCTGCACACAGTGCCCTCAGTCATACTCCCTTCATTCCGTTACATAGTGTCTGCCAACATTTGCTCTGCTCTCCTCTTCTGCACAAAACTAATCAACCAACATACATTCCACAATTTATCATATGTTCAGCACTCCCAAACAGTACATACTGCCCACCACCATACCCATCCTTCCCGTTCTGGAACAGGCACACTTTTGATAGTTTGTATAAAATGTTTACAGAGCTCTAGTGACACTTTGGAGGTCTGTTGGGAAGAAATGTCATTGTCTTGTACCCAAATTGACACTAGCATTATCAATTTCCACCACAGCATTAGCTGCACTGTCTGAGAAGAAAAGTAAAGGTGTATATATAAGGTAGTGTATATATATTTATTTTTTTTACAAAAGTGACATTACCCTTCAACATTTAAAATCAGTAAAATCCCAAGCAAATCCTCATTTTATTCTTATTTTGGGGCCAGCCTGAGGAATGCAAAAAGATGTAGAGCTAAACAAAATCCCTCTACTTTCAGTTTCAGAACACTCCTATTATCTGCAAGCCGATTGTACATTGTATTTCAAGAGGAATCTACCTCTCATCCTTATTTTCTGCTGCTGCAACCAAGGTACATATCTGTTGCAGTTTTTTTTTCAGCTGCTCCTTTGCAGGATATCATACTTTTTTAATTAAAAGGGGAAATTATATTCTCAAAGGGCCTAAATTTCTAAAATGATCGGAATTTCCCTTTCAAACACTTTAGTATTGGGAATGAGGGTATCCTCTGAATAAAAGGCAAATGGAAACATCTTTGTTCAAGCTGAATGCTTGCAATACAGTAGTTAAAAGGACAAGTATAACCAAAACTATTTGGCTATATTTCTCCTTGAGTCCCAGGAGTGCAATTCATTCTTCACTCCTGTAACCAGTTTTTCAGGCAGCACAGTGGCTAAATGGTTAGCAGTTCCGCCTGGCAGTACTAGGGTCGCTGGTTTGAATCCCAACCCCGGCACCACCTGCCTGGAGTTTGCATGTTCTCCCTGTGACTGCATGGGTTTCCTCCCACACTCCAAAGACATGCTGGTA